AGGTGGGTTTTGGGGGCAAAACGGGCCGATTTCAGACAATTTGCCCCAAAGCGAGGCGGGGAGAACCAATACCTGTGAGCGCCAGGGTGTGGTTGCGGCCGCAGGCTGCCAGCACGATGGCTTCGCCCCCCAGCACCTCGATGAGCTTCGGGGCTTCCACCCGCTTCGTGTCGCCGTGTCCCAACTGGCCTTTTTCATTGCGACCTGGGGTGTGGGATGTGTCCCCCCCCCCGCCCCCAAAATCGCTGTTTTTTGGAACGAAGCCTCCCAGCATCACGCTAGGGTTTTGGGGTTGGGTTTTTTTTGGGGGGGGGGTGTCCCCCCTGGTCCCGCTGCTCACCCCAGCTCCAGAGCTTGCCCTCGGCGGTGATGAGCAGGCTGTGAGCGGCGCAGGGGCCCGACACCACGCTGCGCACCTGAATTCCTGAGAGACACCCGTACCTGTGCGGCCCCCACAGGTTCTGGCCCAGATTACGGTATGCAACTGGGTGGGAAAAAACAGGTATTCATTAATAAAAATAATAATTAAATATCAGTGCATGAAAAATCAGCAGAAAAATGAATGGAATACAAATGTATAAAAACTAAGCAGCGCGTTTATCTCGCTTTGCAGGACACCCAGTGCACCCCAAGTCCCGGCCCAGATATGCAACTGTAACTCCTCCCCAGGTTAATTAATTAAAAAATGTAATTAAATATAAATGCACTAAAAAGCAGCAGAAAAATTAGCGATATATAACTGCACAAAAAATAAGCAGCGCATTTAGGTGGCTTTGCAGGAGACCCAAGTTCTGGCCCACTTTACAATACGCAACTGTAGAAAAAACCCTCTACAAATATTAATTAATGAAATTAATTAAATACCAATGCATGAAAAATCAGCAGAAAAATTAATGGTATGTAAGTACATAAAACATAAGCGGCGCGTTTAGTTTGCTTTGCAGCAGACCCAAGTTCTGGCCCAGATTACGATAGGCAACCGTAAAAAAAGCCCCTCCCCAAATATTAATTAATAAAAATAATAATTAAATAGCAGTGCATGAAAATGAACAAAATATAAATGCATAAAAGGTAAGCAGCACATTTATTCTGCTTTGCAGAGACCCAGCATGCCCCACGTCCCAGGCTGCGATATGCAACTGGTTTCACAGCAAAAAAAAAAAACAAAAAAACCAACCCAAAAATAGTAATTCAGGAAAAATTAACTGTAAATGCAGAAAAACCAGCCCAAAACAAGGCACGTGGCTCTGCAGCAGCCCCTCACCCTGCTGCTTAGGCACTTCTTTGCGGCCGATCAAGTCCCAGTTGGTGGCTCCGAAGATGAGGAGCTGCCCCCGGCACCTGGAGCCCTCGAGCTTCTGCAGGGAGCCGGGAAACCGTCAGCGACACGGGGGACACGGGGGACACCGGGAATGGGGGGGGGGACAGAGGGAACTGGGACACAGGTGCACTGGGATTGCAATGGGACAGTGCAATGGGGGGGTGCAATAGCAGGTACATTGGTGTGCAATGGGGCGTACCCTGGGGTGTAATGGGGGGTGCAAGGGAGGGTTGGAAAGCAGGGGTGCAATGGGGGTGCACACTGGGGGTGCAAGGGCGTGTGCACTGGGGGGGTGCACTAG